AAGTATATGAATCAAAACAGTGTTAGCATAGATTGGTACCAACGTATAAGTTTATTACATGGAATCGTAAGAGGGATTTTTGAATTACATAAAGCGAACTTAATACATCATAATTTACATACCGGTAATATATTACTTAGACATAATACGAGAAAAGAAAAAACCGGGAGATTTAGTACTTCAACTGTGAGAACATGGATCTCTGATAGTGGATTATGGGGACCAGCTGGATCATCTTCAAGTGGGATTGATACAAGCGGAGCAACTTCTATGGGTGGAAATAGTAATCTTAATAGTACAATTATGGGTCCATCTAAAGAACCGAAAATATCACCAGCTCAATCAATGATTAATTTGCAAAAGGGAAAATTATATGGAATATTACCTTACATTGCTCCTGAAGTCTTACAAGGTAAACAATATACACAGAGTTCAGATATTTATAGTTTAGGTATTATTATGTGGGAACTATCAAATAATGCTACTTTAGGAAAGCATAATCTCCATAGTCAACCTTTTCATGATCAACCGCATGATATTAATTTGGCAACGGAAATTGTGAATGGAAAAAGACCCAATATAGATGATGTTGCCTCTGGTAACATTCCGGAATGTTGGTTGAATTTGATGAAGAAATGTTGGGCATCAAAACCAGAAGACCGACCGAATATTGAAGACATTAAGAAAATTACCAGTGCATGGAATATGGAAAGATCGAAAAATTCTTTGGTCTTTTCATTTAGTAGATCTGGAGATGATGATGATGTTGTTGGACAGTTTTTAGATGCTGAGAAGAGAAGAGTCGAAAGGTTGAATAAAGGAAAGCAAGTGGAGAGTTACAATAAACTAGAAGAAGAAGAAAGTGGAAATGAGTTAAAAGAAACTGTAACCGAGAGGCTTAACCAAGATGATAATAATTATGACTCGATGAAGAGTCGATTATTAGATTTTTTGGTTGAAGCACCTTCACCAAATAATCATAAAGATTTAGAAATAATTTATGAGAATATCGATTCTACGAAAAAAGAAAAGGTTGATAGTGGATATCAGCAACCAATAATGGAAGAGCACGAAGATGAAGTTAAACATGAAGTCGAACTCGAAAATCCCATAGAAAAAGATAGGGATTCAAATAGAAATTTTCAAGGTAATCGATTATATATACTTAAATTATTAGTATAAATTAAGATGTTGGCGGATACTAATTTTTTTTAATTTTTATTATTAGAAAAATCATATGTTAATGAACAGAAACAAATTTTACTAGGTAATACAACCTATGATTTTTGGCTATTTAAGATATGTAATTGTCCTAATTGGAGTATTAATTTTTTTTTATTTTTATTCTTATTTAGGAGTTAAACAAGATAACCAAGATAGTCCTATTAAAAATGGTATAGAAGCGAATTCTGAAATTGGATCAAAAGGTAAATAAGTTAACGCTTTATTTATCCTTCCAATAGAATTTTTTTTATTAAATGTTTCATAAACTTTATTAGAAATCAGTTTAACTAAAGAAAAAGAACCATAAATATGCAATTGATATTAATAGTTTTACCCTTATTCCTTTACCATTCATTATTTACATTATTTATTAAATTTATTATTATCTATTTATTCTTATGTATATGTATTTGATATATTTATTGGTTTTAAGAAGACAATTTTTTTAGTATATAAATACTATGTATTATTATTACTACTAAACAAATGTTTGTTCTATGATAAATTTGTGTATTTTTATAATTAATTTTTTTTTTTTTTATAGAAGTTTGTATTTGTAAAATTAAATATATTAAAAATAACAAAAATAACAAAAATATTAAAAAATTAAAAATAGTTTTTTTTTGATAAAATTAAGTTTTATATTTTAGAATTAGAATAAAATAGAAATCTAATTTATAAAATTATAATTAAATAATTTTATATATAAATTAAATATTAGTTTTATTTCAAAAAAATTCTAAGGAACTTTAAGTTCATCAAATAATAATCGATTATAAGTTTATGAAAAAATGGATCTCATAATTCATTACAAAATATGGCTACGTCATCCACGTTTATAGAAATATTGCTC